GTATTGGACTTTGTTTTTGGGAAAGAATAGTAGATGTCAGCATTGGAGTGTCTAGCTTTGTCATGTGGCTTCCATGCAGTTGTTCTTATTCTGCATTTCCTTCTCCAATTTCAGGCATTTTTTTGGTTAATGCATTGAACTATTTGTTAGTTTTTGTAACCTAATATGATTAGAGGTGATTTTCTGTATTTTATGTGCAATACGGCTTTACGATTCTACCCTGGGAAGCAATGCCTCTTTACTTTTTGGGATATAATCCATTTTCCGGTTAGTATGTACTATCCCTCTTGGTCGCTATATCAATGGTAGTAGTCTCATTTTCTGAAATTACTTCTTGAAAGAAAAGAGAAGGGCATCTCATTATCTGAGGTCAAAGTTAAAATTGGAAATCTCATTTTAAGTAGAATTAACCCCTGCATAAGAATCCTAGTTACTAGCAGGAAAGGAAAAGGAGAAGAAGAATTCGTTTAATCAAAAGCAGCAGAATCCTCCTGATGGCTTTTTTGATGACTGTTCTGTGCGTGAGAATTTAAACAAGTCTAAATATTAAAAATTTATTGAGTGTTGTTCACAGAAATAGTAACGTTGCATTCTGGACTTTGTATTATAAAGCTGCTTCTTTTCTACACACTCTCCTGTTCATCGTAGTTTCTGCCATAATCTCAGGTATCTGCCTCCAGAATGCTTTGAGATAAACAAGACACCTCTGATATCCTCAAATGTCGGTTACACTGTACTTTTCATATGTGGGAGCATGCTTGACTAAGCTTATAAAAAGTGAAAGTTACTTTTTGTTTCCAAACAGGTTTGCATATGTTTTCATTTTTCTGTTAAGAGTTAAGTCATATTACACCAGTAACTCTTAGGTATTATTAAATTAACTTAAACATTAACAATACTTATTTACTTATAAGTAAACTTTTCAAGCTTAGCCAAGCACGCTTAATTATGTGCAAGCTCGAAGAAATAAATGGCCTAACACAGCAACGCCTGTCCTAAGTTTCCCTAGCTTTAGACAAACGTATGGTTTTTCTTGGTGTAGGCTATTTTACGGTGGCATACTACTTGTCAAAGTTTTAGGAGTTGTATTCAATTGAGACTTTTAGCGCTTGTTTGGTAGCACTTCTCGCCAAAATTTTTAGCAATTTTCTGACCATTGGACGATGAACCAAAGATGCGGCCTCAATTGATGACCCGTGGAAGCAGCTACAATTTTTGATAAAAAGGAAGTTGTCATAACTTTTACAGACCGATTTAACAATAATGCCCCCTAGCCCAAAAATTTTAAGAAGTACTAAAGGTCAATTTTGGTAATTCAAATATTAAAATACATTTGAACTTCAATTTGTTTAACAATTGCGTCGGCTGGATTGATTTTGAAATTGCGGCTGCTTCCTCAACACACATTGCAATGGTAGGAAAAGTAATAAAAATCTACTCGTAATCTCCTCCAGACAAGCGCTTAATGACTTTTTGGAATTTAAAAAGTTTAGGGGTATTTAGTGTAGACTTTTTGAGACTCTTTAAAAGAATTGATTTATTCAATTGAGACTTTTAT